CCTGCCGCCACCAGGAACAGCGCCGGTCCAAACATTCCTGCACAGTCGACAGTGTCATTCTCTCCACAGTGGAGAGTGTTTTTATTTATTTATTTATTGACGGCGGTCCTTACCGATCAGGGATAGGATCTTCCTGACTTTGACTGTGGGAACTCTGCGGCTTTCCCTCAGGTAATCGGCCAACTGCCCACTCAGCACGGCAAACAGCCCACAGCCCAGGTAAGGCAGAGCCGACAGCATGCCGTTCTGTAAGCAGACACGACAGCGCGGTGGGTCAGGGGTTCTCGACCCGGCCCCCTCCCCGCTGCCCTTCATGACAGACATCAGCTCACCTGCTGTATACTGAAGCCCAGCACGTCGTTCATGTACGTGGGCAGCAGCGTGAGGAGAGTGTAGAAGGTCCAGTTGTAGGAGAAGTGGGCGACCACTATGGCCCACAGCGGCCTGGAGGTGATGATGGACCTCCAGGGGATGTGGTCCACTGAGGAGGACAGCTGTGGGGTTAGACACAGGACATGGACTCAGGGTAGAAATGTCCACTAGTAAAACAACAGCTTCATAAGAACTTTCTATTAAGATGCAGCACCCCCTGCTGGATGGACAATCAATATATTGTGTCTGTGCAGCAGTAAAGACTTTAAATGTTCTTTGTTGATATAAGAAGTGATGTCACACACTCTTACAGCCTGGACGGTTCACACAGATACACAGAATGTGTGTGTGTTTTCTTCCGTGTTTGTTCGTTCGAACATGACGTGACAGAATTTTCAGTAAAGCAGAAGAAGAGTGTTCATAAAAGGCAGAAACATTTTGTGTCTTGTGACCCAACAGCTGCTAAAGACAGATAAGACAATGACATTAACCTACAGAGTGAGGTTATGTAACTACATACAGTTACAATTTTCTTTATATATTGACTATTTTCATATTTACATTTTAACATTTTTCTTCTTACATTTTCAAAATAATTTGTAATTAATCCCTTCAGTCATTTTCCCTTTTTAGTATTTTTATTTTTACTGTCAGCTGTGATCTCGAAGTCCTGAATAACCACTGTAACCACTGTAAAGACACAAAAAAAAACCAGTAGGGGGCACAAGATCACCCGTTAACATGATCGGGAAAGTCCTGAATAAAATGTCAACCACTGTAAAGGAAAAAAAAAACAGTAGGGGGCACAAGATCACCCGTTAAGATCAAAGCAGTTTTAGGGCTAAGTGTGTTGGAATGGTGAGCTTGGCTAGCTAGTCTTAATGAAAGCTTGACACTAAAATGCGACGTACTACGCACACTGCTAGCATGCTACATGTGCTACTCATTGGCTCAACGCTAATATGCATTTGCCTAAATGTTTTCCCTAATTCTTAAAAAAAAGTGAATAGAATATATGTTTATATGTTACCTCTTTCTTCAGGGAGGAGGTGATGTAGAGCCTCTCCCGCTCTGATATCCTTGGGTGAGTGTTTGGACTGTCGTACATGAGGAAAACCCACAGAATGAACCAGACCAGACCCACAGCACCTGGAGGTAAACAGGTGTTATCGTACTGGACAATGTTGAACCGGTAATGTTCAAAATAATGATCCTTAAACTTTATCAATGGATCCAACACTGATCTGGATGTTTCTTTACCAAAGATATAAAAGACGTAGGTCCAGTCTAAGTAGAAGCAGATTTCACCCGACAGAGGGAGAGCGACGACGGTTCCCAGCTGAGCTCCTGAAAGAAAGAAAGAAAAACAACGTCGTCCGGTAAGACTTGGTTTCTTTATTTAGTATCTCTTATTCTTTCATCCTCCTGTTTCTTTTTTCCATTTCTTAATTCATAATTCTGTTTAACTTCGTTCCCCCTCTGCTCCCTCATTGGTTAAATTACATCTGTTTTCTTTATCGGCCTAACCTGCTGCACATCAGTCCCAGCACTGTCAAAAATGGCTTGTAGTACTTGTTCATTAAACTGTGTGTCTTACCAATGTAGGAAATGGTCAGCAGTCGGCTCCTCTCCAGCGGTGGAGCCCACAATGCCCACATGTTGTACAAGGCAGGGAAGGTAAATCCCTAAAGACAAACACACATCATAGTTTTTTTTTTACCTTTAATGATTTGGTTTCTTGACCAAAAGCCAAACAAAATGATTATAATGTTTCCGTTTTGTCCTTTCTGTACGTCAAATTCTTATTCATTTTAATTGACCTAGTGAGAGCCCACGGAGTTGGGATAAAACATCAAAATGTTTGGGCTGTTTTTTAAGTATAGCGCCCTCTCCTGGTGATTGTAATTGCAGTGAAAGAGCAGATTAGTGTACAACATAATAAACATGCCCAGAAGAAGGTTGTGTCTTATTAAGGTTTGTTGACTCAATCTCTCTGAGTCATCAAAAATCATGGGACCAGGCCAAAGCTGAATTCTTAATACCTGCGACCTTTGTTCTTTAACTGTATTCTTATTGACTCTCATCTAAAGGTTTATGGGCCGATCATCCACACTCGCTCTGTCGCTCCTACCTCTCCTAACCCCTCCAACATCCTGCAGACGATGAGGTAGCTGGCACCAAGGTCTGCAGCCACGGGGGTGAGCATGGTAAAAATGACAGTTCCCAGGATTCCAAATCCCAGCAGCCACTTGGATCCGTAGCGACCGGCCAGGTAGCCTCCAGGAATCTGTGTCAGGATGTAGCCCCAGAAGAAGGAGCCCAGAATCAAGCCCTGAGTCTCAGAGTCCCAGTTATACACACTGGCCTGTGGGAGGTGATGTTGAGAACAAGGTGAGTTTTTAGACCAGCTTCCTGTCGGGGTTAATCTGATCAATATAACCAGGTCAAGTTCATTGATACTCTGAAGAAGCATTTTTACATTTCTGCCAATATTAAATCAATCTGTAATTATGTCAGACTGATATTTGTCTGCCATTTTCAGGGAAGATTCAGGGAAGAGTTTGGGGCTCACCGTGTTGTTTCTTTGTGGCCGTGTTGGGCTGGGATGGGCCGGACACAGTGAGCTGCTCTGATTGGGGCTGGACTGGTGGCTGGAGTTAAGCATGTCCACCATGGCCACGCTGAGGTTGACGCGCAGAGAGTAGACCACAAACAGGCCGTAGCAGGAGAGGAGAGCCAGGCCATAGCGGGAGGAGCAGCAGACTGGAGCTGCAGGGAGAGAAGGGGGGAGTCAGGTGGGGCGAGGGGGTCACGACAGTCCTGCAGGTGTGTAGAAAGCAGCACATGAAGGGGGTCACGACAGTCCTGCAGGTAGAAAGCAGCACAAATATATAGGTAATATATAGGTAAAACAAGTCCTGGCCTGTGGACCCTTCATAGCACACGGGCCACTAAAATGTGGCCCTGAGCTTTTTTCTTAGCAAACTTTTTTTCTTTTTTTTTTTAACCTCAATGAACAATTGTTAAAACTGCTGACAAATAACAAATAACCATTTATTCCTAACTTTATGACCTTGGTCACTTTTTCCTTTGACATAAAGCAATTGTGGGACATGTTTTTTCAGGATTATCATCATCATTTTAGGTACTAGTCTGACAGGCAGGTAGATTTTAAAAACACCGTTTTGACAAACATTATATATATATATATATATATACACACACACACAGTGTTAGTTCTTGTAAACAAACTATTTTCGTTGTTCGTTCGTTGTTGATGCAAATTAACCAACTAACTGAATTACAACATTTGCTAATAAAATAAACAGGTTTTTTATGTTTGAATAACTTTTTGTCGTCGGTTTAAAAATTGTAACGCGTTGCAAAGATGACCGCCGTTTGTTTGCACTCCCGGTGACTCGGAACAATCGAATGCCGTCGTAAACGGAATATGACTAATATTCCCACAGATTTGTGTCAAAATGTTCCAAATGATTTTGTTCAGAGACATTAAACCGCCTGAAGTCTTGTGGTACTAAATGCGTCTTACTTTTCTGCACTTTTTCTTCATGTTCTCGCTGCAGCAGCGGTGTCTCCTGTTCGTCCATCACCGAGTCGGAGCCAAACTTCTCCACTTCCCGGTGAACGGTCTCTAATCTGAGGTCTACAGAATCACGTTAGACACAGGAACACAATCAACAACAACAACAGCAGGTGACAATGTTGTCGGTACCTTTTCCAGTCAGCTGAGCTCATCAGCTGCAAAGTGCCGAGTCACGTGTCGAGCGGAAACGGAAGCTAAGCATTAGAACCTATTATTGTTCTTTTAAATAACTATTTTATGTTTACAATGCCGACAAAATGGGTTGTCCATTTATATCATTGTTGTTAAGCAGGATAAAGTGTTTAAATTAAGAAGAAACTCGAGTTGTTATTCAAATACACAAAACGTCACAGTGACATCCAGGAATTGCGAGGACGCGGTCGCCATCTTGGGAGTGGCGTCAACTATGATTGCTATCTCATTTGCTGTAACTTTGAAACAGCACCTGTTCTTCCCTGCCATGTATAAATATCAACTCACGGGATTTGATTTAGAACGTTTGATTAAGCTTTTATAAAACTTTTTTCGGAATACTGTATATGATTTGGTTTATTCATTTTGCAGGATAACATAAAAAAGTAAACATCTTAATGCTGTGCAGCTCTTTACAAAGAGGGACACCAAGTTACCCTATACATGGGCTGCTGTAGAAGAACATTTCCTAAAGTGGCAGATAAAACCACCGACGGGGACGAACTTCCTCTTCACACACTTTATTTTGATGCCTCAAGCAACAAATGCATCAACCACAATTTCTCTACAAACACATCATGAGATGTCTGTCTTTTATACATTGCTATTAGAAATGAAGCGTGAGAGTGAAAGAGTTCCTGTTCTCTCTCTCTCTCTCTCTCCCTGACGTAACCAAGTCATCACTTGTCTGAATCATATGGTTGGCCTTTATTATATAAATCAATCAGTGTTAGCTTACGTACAAGAAACTGCAGACAGAAGAAAACCAAGATATTCTCAGCCTTTATTCAGAGTCAGACTGAGAGTTGACGTCAACAGCTGCTGTACAGTATAAAGTCATTCAAAATTAATTAAGAGCAGTTTAGAAAAAATAGCTAAAAGCTAGCCAATGGTTAAGTTAACCAAAACCAAAAAAAGGATAATTGAGGATGGCCAAAATAATGCCCCCCAAAAAAACTCTGTTAAAGTTACATAATACTATACACAATGCTAAATATGAACCAAATATAAGTTAACCATCATGCTAACCATAACCTGCTTGCTAGCCTCAAAAATACATGTGCCTTAAAATACAGTGATTATTGATGTGTTAATTGACAAGACTTGACAAAAAATAGCAGTTTTCTGAGGAACATTTTGTTGACTTTTAATATTATTTAATTTTACATTATAGCCACATTTTATTACCAAACGTCATGTCTTATACACCAAAGCTTTTATGACCCTTATGTAGTAGCTCTGTGGACAACCTAGGGATCACAGACCATGTGTTGAAGACCTGTGTTGTCTTGCACTGCTAAAGTTTTTACCAATCCTGACTCTTCCTGGCCCCAGGCTGCTGTGTCTGTCACCACATTAAAACCCACTCACGCCTCCTTCAATAATGATTCCACTCCACTCTGTCACTGTGGCATGAACAAATCTCTCTCTTCTCCTCATCCTCTCCTCCTGATCGTTTCCTTGTGTGTCTCCCCCTCGTTGAACAAAAGGGCCTTTTTGTGTCAAAGAGGGAAATCACAGGACTCACATGCTTCAGAGGAGGGAAAGTGAGGGCTCGCAGCACAGGGAGCGGGACGTACAGTAGGAAAGACGGAGACAGAAGGAGGCACAAGGAGGATAAGAGCGAGCGTGGAACTGGAGCGGCTGTGACCATAAATATGGAAAATGGAAAAACCGAAGATATGACGGAGGGTGTGTCTGAAGGTAAGCAGTTCTCACTGGCTGAAGGATGACAGATTTGACTTTATGACGACTTAAATACAGGATAAATTAATTCTACTTTTTAATCGTAGTTGTAATTCTCATTCACTCAAGATCAGAACACTGTATTTGCCATTTCTATTTTTTAAACTCACTAAAATAATTTTTTCAAGTGCAACATAATTTAATTTTTCTACCTTACCTGAATAATATCACTTCATAAAACTTGTTATTATTAAATATTGTTCCAATAATATATGTAAAACACAGAGTGGAACAGTTGTTTTTATGTTTTAGGTGAGTTTTCTTTCATATTTCTGTATGTTGATGTAACTTTTTGACCTCTTTCTCCAGCTTCGTTCCCATGTAATCCATCGACAGGGCATCTTTTCAACAGAAATTCCCTGAGGAAAGAGTTTCACAGTTTTGCAGAGCTGCATCTGTGACCAATTCATTTGTTGTCCTCACAATTGATTAATTGTCAGATGAGTGTGTGTGTGTGTGTGTGTGACCCAAAGTCAATTCTCACCCAGGAAAACCAACCGTTTCTCCTGCCTGGCTGCAGTACTGTACTGTATGTAGCTGCTGTTCTCCAACAGGGTTGGTGTTGATGTGGGAAAGAATAGCAGAGAAAATGAAGCTTGAATGTCTGAAATCTGCCGTGACATCCTCTTTTCAGGGTCTTTTATATCCTGCAGTAAAATGTCTAAAGATAACAAATGTCAGTCGGGTTAAGAAAATAGTCATAAAAAAAGGGCCAAAGTAGAGATGAGATGAGATCTCTTCAAATTTTCATTCTGGATACTTAAAAAAAACACGGTGTGGGATCATGAGGATTTCCTTATTGAAAAACTATGATCAGAGAAATGTAATTTCATTAGACGATCAACAACAACAGTTACTGTAAACATGAGTTGTTTCACTCTGGTCTTTGTTAAACTGGAGTCTGCAGAATTCATTTAATTTATTAATTTATTTAAAGTACATCATTTTAAATAGACTCTAAATAGATGTGAACAGAACAAATATAAACTCGTGGTATTTTGCACACAGATCTATCGTTTACACACAAATGTTAGCATTGTGTTCGCGTCGTGTGGCAAAGGACCACACAGTGGAAGAGTGGTTAGAACTTTTGCCTGAAGCTGGTAACTGCTGATGGATATATATGTATATATATATATATACATATATAT